AGCGGCACAGTGGTATGTCTGCGGACTACAACGCTAGAATCCGGGTTTCGATACCCCGTGATTGGCAGAGCACAGATAGACCATTGTGTACCGTTGTGCTTAATTACAAACAAACAAACTGATCTGTAAAAATCTTTACGTTATAGAAAAATTGAATAATATTTTCAAAATCTGCGTAGCTGAATTATGGAAAATCCGTTATTAAAACCTAAAACAACTTTTATGAAGTTTAAATTCACAGGTCTATGATATTTTCCTGACAGGATGATTGCTTTATGGAATGAGTAGCTGTCACCAGTAGTGAAGGCTAGTACTCTAATAGAGCTTAAAATGAAGTGTGGGTTAAAGTTTTTACTTTTTCTTTAGGGTAGGGGTACAGGCTATCGTATATAGTCCCTTGTTATTCATATGATATGTTATAAAATATAATATTTCTTTACTAGAAATTAACTGGCTTAGACGGAACAGAAATATTTGGAAATACACGTTCTGCTCGTAAAACAAGACAGGAGACTGTGAGAGGACTGGTGGAGGTAAGTGTCAACGAACATAAGTCAGTATTGAAAAACTTGCAGAGGTAAGTCTGAATCAAAAATCTGGCAGAGGTAAGCCAAGATAAAAACAACAACAATAAAAGAAATGAGTCTGGATTTAAAAATTATGAGAGGCTATTCTGGATTACAAAACTAACGGAGGTAAGCTGAGATTGAAAAAACAACAACAAACAACAGAGGTAAGTCAGAAATGAAAACCTATGAGAGGCTCGTCTGAATTACAAAACTAACTGAGGCAACTCTCAATCAAAACTCTAGCGGAGGCAAGCGAAGATAAAAAACAACAACAAAAAACAGAATTGAGTCTGTATTGAAAAACAGCAGAGTTAAATATGGATAAAAAATAGCGTAGGTACGTTTGGATTGAAAAACTATCGGAGGCTAGTGTGAACTAAAAAACTAACATGGGTAAGTCTAAGTTGAAAACTTGTGGGGGGTAGGTCTCGATTGAAAGAAATAGCAGAGGTTATTCTGAATTGAAGTAACCGAATAGCAGAGGTTATTCTGAATTGAAGTAACCGAATAGCAGAGGTTATTCTGAATTGAAGTAACCGATGTAAGTAAATCTGTATGGAAAAATTAAGGAAGGTTTTGATAAATGAGATCTAAATTAAGAACTAACTTGTTTAACAATCAAGAAGGAGTGTGTTAAGTAAATAAAAAAACGGCCCGCTTTTAAAATATTTAAGTTTTCCACTTATCAGTTTCGCTTTGGATGAGTTTAACGTTTTTTTTATTTAACCCTAGGATGTCCAAGATGACGATGTCTATCAGGCGGTCATGCAGAGAGTGGGAGGAGTACGACCTGAAGTAAGTTAATTTTCCTGTGGTCATTTATTGGGTACTGTTTCACTTAGTTAAAATTATTTCAGAAGATAACCTAATTCCTAACTTTTTATTCATTATATTTCATGAAGTTTTGTTTACTAAGTATTAAGGTACTGTAAAAAACAAAACCAAAAACTTTTCTTCTCGCAACTTATGACAGAACTTGACCTCCAGTCGGGCTTATTTCTTCGCCATGCGTGCGTAGCTATGAATGACAGTGTACGTTATTTATTACCACAACATACTCAAATAATACAAAGTACAATATAAAGAGTTTGAAGGAACAGAGAATTTCGCAGAAACAACTTTGAAATGAGATTTTAAATTTGCTAATAAATATCAAGATCAATTAAAACGCTCATTTATATATATATATATAAGTTAACACATCGTATTTAAATTAATTACGACCATATTTAAATTAATACTTTATCACACTCTCCCGTGAGCAGGGGTATTGTTTTCATTCATGTATGTGTGTGTGTGTGTAAACAGTAATACTCGAAAAGCTTTCAATTGATTTCCCTCGTTGTTACAAACGTTGAGTGCTCCTACCCCCCCAAAAAAAAACACAATTATTATTTTTGTTGAATGTTGCTTAAAGGTCAAATTTAACTGAAAGTAAACCACTTTCGATATAACTGTAGAATATAGGGAGTTTGAAAAACTCAAGAACAATTTGAGATACAAAGATAATCTTGGCATATAGTCTCTTGGTGTATATGATGGATTGGTTACCATGAAAGCCCGACACTGCGGGGCAGAAGTTGCTCTACTTGGTTACCTTTCTAAAATGGTTACCTTTCTATAAATTCAGTGCACTCAGAAAAATCACGTATTGCAATTCAAAATACCTACCTAAGTGGACTTTAAAATATTTTAACAAAAGAATTGTTGAAATAATAAAATCTGTTTTTATTTTACAACAATGCCAATAAAAAGAATGACAATAAATATAAGGTTTCTGTAATCGGCTACTAGATCCTAGGGGTTCGGGGGAAAACTCATAAATTCATATGAAAAGTATCATTCTTTTGCTGATTTTAATTTAGATTTCTTAGTCGATAGTGCCTTCTATTAACTTAGAAAGCATTATTCCGAATTCTTCTTTCAGACAATCCACCTATCCACTGTTGAAATTTCCTAAAACCTTCTGTATACATGTTGGTTCGAATTATACAGAGGTGTATTCTTCTGCATGACTTGTCCTCTTTACTTGTACATTAAAACATTTTGTTTTTATATCAAATTCTTAAATTATTACCTTCCTTTTTCGCAAATTCTTCGTTCTATTTTCTGGTAAATGTTTCGGATTTCTCCTGTTCCGTTTTAGAAGAAATATTTGTGATCTTCGCATAATCAATTTTCGGAGTGTCTTCTGAATATTGTGGAGCTCTGACTTTTAAACCAGCCACCTCATGGCTATTCTATATCATTCTATTTCTATTCATCTCCGAATACAAAGCTCATCTTCTATCAAAGAAGTATTTGCTATCTAAAAATAAATTGGGGGATATGAGGTGGTTACTTGGCTTGATAGTTACTAGAAACTTCAGTTAAATATTTAGCTTTTAGGGACTTCCAAAAACCAAATATTTCGACCGTATAGGTTGTTCTTCCAATATTTTCTTTACAACATTTTTATTCTCATTTTCTGTTATATCACTTGGTTTATTGATTAGATAGGCTGATATATATTATCGAAATCCCGTTTAATCCTCCATTCAATTCACAGGAGGCATCACAAACTCATTGCATGTAGTTATCCTATTGTTCAAATTGGTGACTGTTCTATATTTAAAAAAATTAATATGTGTGTGTGTGTTTATATATATATAAACTAGATGCGCTTCCGCAGGGTCCTTGAAAAGGTTCTGTTTCAAGAGTAAATAAAACGGAAATTGATGGTAGCAAATGCTTATATTTCTTGCTTTTGAAGTTCATATGTCATCATGTGTTGTAAACTACACAGTGAATAATTATTCTCGTGATTCATGGCATACGCACGTTTTACTGACATCACGAAAGTACAAATTGCAATGTTAAGCGTCCGTTATGTGATGTCATTTTAGTGTCTACTGACTAACTGACAGAGAACACACTGCTTATAGTGGTGCGAGTGGTTAAAACAGGTAACCCTTCCAGGCGGCCTTCGGCTCTCTGTTGGGGAAATTAATTAATATAAATATACATATTAATTATTAAGAAGGAAACTACATTCCATATTAAGCGTAGCTTTAACGATTTAATAAAATTAGAACATAAACAAAACTAATAAATTACTAAATATGTCACGAGACTAGGAAAAACACTTTACATATGATATTTACAACATAATAACATTCAGTACATGAATAACTAAACACAATGCAAAAAAAAGTTCGTTAGTTTTTCTGAAGATGTTACTTGTTCTCTGGATGATGGAAAGACCAGACTTTGGGGGGAAGTAAGGGTACATGCTAGATTTGGAAACAATGGCTTTCAATTATAATATTGTGATTATA